ACCCAGCAACAAGATGATTTTTTTCAAGAGTCAAGAGATTTTGAACCCAAATCAACATTTAGATTTGACAATCTGCCAAATTTATATTTATTTATCTGCCAGATAATCATATAATATAAGCTGATTAACAGATTTCTTTACACCTATTTGCATAGGGTGGATTAAATCCAGTTTCTCTCTTGGGATTTCAAGAGGATAAATAAATTGAAGAGGAGATTATAAGTTTTTAACTGAAGAAATTGACAGGGTGTCTCATACCCTTCTCCTTGACTTGCTCCCTTGATTTGACTTCCAGGGAAACAGACATGTTCTCTTGGTTTTCTTCCTTCTTCCCTGGTTATTCTTTCTTTAGCTCTTGGCTGCTTTCTCCTCTATTTTCCCCACCCTCTTCATGGTGGAGGGTCCCAAAATTAAATTCTTAACTCTTCTCTCTCTACATTAATGGAGATCTCATCTAGCCTCATGCTTTAAATAATACCTGGAAGCTGATGCTCCCAAATTTATATCTCTAGCTGCCTCTCCTGAAGTCCAGTCTTGAATGTGTGTGTGTGTGTGTGTGTTTGTGTGAACACAACTGTCTCTCCTGAAGTCCAGACTTGAGTATATATATTCAAGTATATACTCAACTGTCTACCAGACATCTCAACCTGGATGTTCTGGATATGTTATAGTCAACATATCTGAAACTTGAATTATTTATCTTTCCCCCTAAGCCTGCACTGCCCAACCCTTCCCCATCATAGTTCTGGCAAATTCATCCATTCTCCCATTTGCTAGGGCAAAGATCCTTGGAGTCATCTTCATCCACTTTCCCCCTTCCACATCCCACAACCTGTTCGTATGGAAATACAAAGACTCACAACTGGTCTATGACCCACCTCTAGTTAGTTCTAACACCAGCAGCCTCTAACTAATAAATCTATTGGAATTTACCAAGTTGGGGATGGAGAGTGTGGAGAAGCGTATTTTATTATTAGCCATGCTCTTCTCAGAGTGCCTTTATTTATTTGGAAAGTGCTCGGTGTTAATTTCCAGATAAAGGAGGTTGGGGGGCTTTTGCTGATAGTTAACTCTGCGAGCATTTCCAGAAATGCATTCTGTTTTCTTTTCTTACTGTTTAAACTTGGATCTCTCTGTCCTTTCCAAAAGTGGAAGCCATCTGGACTTCTGTCCAGGGGAAGTTTGGTGGTTTCCCGTATTCTTTTCCAGGATGATACGATGACATGGCCCTTTGGGGAGCATACCTGGTATTTCCCTTCCCCGACAGGAAGCCAGAAATGCCTGCTTAGCTGGGAGTTTCAGGTTAATGCTTCTTCCATAGAAACTAGATTGATAGCGGAATATTTATTCCTTTGTCCTGTGGTATCTTGGACAACCAGACCCCGGCCTCTGGAGGTCACTTCTGGGACATGTCCACTTGTGTCTCCCAGGGTGGTCCTTGCCCTCAGGGACACAGACATTCCTCACCTGCTGGAGGCTGCTCTCGGATGTCTGGCTGGATTTTGTGGGTTTGGGTCTAGGCCTGGCCGCCAGTGAGTGGCCTGTTCTGAGCCTGAGACTGCCATGTCTTCATCCTCAGGAACTGTATTAGTTTTCCATGCCCTGTAATAAATTATAACAAATTGCATGGTTCAAAACGATATGTATTTATCATACAGTTTCTGTAGTTTATCGGAGTTCTTTGCTTCAGGATTTTATCAGGCTGTAATATCGATGTTGGCTTGGGCTGCAGTCCCATCAGAGGCTCACTGAGGAAAAGCCCACTTCCAGCCTCCCTCAGTTTGTTGGCAGGATTCATCTCATCGGAGTTGTAGGACTGGGATCTCTGTTTTCTTGTAGCTGTTGGCCAGGGGCTACCCATAGTTCCTTGCCATGTGGTTCTCTCCTTCTTGACAGCTTTCTTCTTCAAAGCCAGTAAGGGAGTCTCTAGCTCAGAGGGAGTCATATAATATAATGTCATCCCAGGAGTGAGATCCATCAGCTTTACCATGTTTTATTGAGTAGGCGCAAGTCACAGGCCCTGCCACCACTCAAGGGGCCGGATTACACAAAAGTGTGAACACCAGGCGGTGGGTATTATTGGGGGGTCATCTTAGAGTGTGTTTGTCACAGCAACCGTGGTCCCCCTGACCAGCACCTCACACCCCACTTCCGGTGCTGAGAAGCCCAGAAACTCCCTCTGGCAGCCCTATAGGGCTCTGCTAGTGGATTTAATGCTGTTTCTCACAGGGTTAGTGGCAAGGAGAGAGTTTCTGTGTGACTGTGTCTTCTGCCTTCAGCTCTTCCTCTATGAGGCCGCAGCTGCACCATCACCGAGTGCTGACTTCAAGGCTCAGCAGCCAGTATCTGTCTTCAAGGGGTTTAGGGATCCTTCCCCGATCCTCTCCCTTTCAGCCATTCTTCACTGTTATAATCCTTACATTTCAAATTGAGGAGCTGATTCCCAAAGGCAGGGGAACGCCTATTATTTGCTCACCTATTCCCCCAATATGCATTAGATTTGCTTTCCCAAGAAACCATAGGCTGAGATGTAATTTTCTGTGGTTCATCTAAAAAATTTGTAATGCCTATTTTTCTTGATCTTTTGTGCTCCTTCCAGTTCAGATGTAACTGAGTTAATTATTTGAGGAAATGAACCAGAGCTTCCTTTCTTGTTATAGAACTTCTTGTTCTAGAACCAGAGATGGTACTTACTAGATCCTGTGCCAAAGATCATTCCCCAGAATCGATCCAGGCTGAGTTGCTTACAGTCAGACTCGTCTTCCTTTTGTTCATCCTATGAATGTTGTGCTTAATGGGTACAGCACTGACTTATTCTAAATGATTACAGTTTTTTAGCCTATTTGTTTGAAATCTCAATGGGTATTTCTAAATAACCTCGTATGGTCTGACCTTAGTTTCCAAGTAACAGAGCAGCTGGATTTTAGATTTTAGAACCGCCCTCCCTCATCCTGATTTTTGTTGTTTGAGACCTCAATGACAATGTATGGCAGTGTGTCTTGACCAAGTCTTCTTTTTTTAAAGTTCTGGAATCATCTTGCCTTAGTTCCTCTTAATATATCTTTTGTTTGGGGAAGAAATGAGAACATGAGTCTAGTCTCTGACCAAGTATTAAGGCAAAAAGGTTAGGGTTCAGGATTGGTTTATGCCTTTGGAATTAGTTTGTTCCAGGTGGAAATCAGTGTCTTCTTTTACATTTTGAATGTGTGCACCACAGTATGCTACCATTGGAAGGATATGTCAGAAGGAAACATAGAATATAAATAAGCTATTGAAGTCTGCTTACCAAATCACAGTTGCCCACCTGGGGAAAACCAAATCCTCTTTAATTTTTTTTCACATTTAAATTTCATGTAAATCATACACAGATGGTTAATGGTAGCATAAATTGCTTTTAATGCTATATAAGAATCTTGGAAATTCATTTAAAAGCGTTACAGCAAATATACAGTTAGAAACAGGTGAGATGCATGTATCTCAGGAGTTCAGTGTGGAAGTGCTGCTTTATGGATTTTCTGGACTGTCCTGCTCTCATTGGGGGTTTTGGGGCCCCTCTTGCTAGAGCAGCCTCATAAGTGAGCTGGGAAGGCTCTGCTCCCTCCTCCACTAGTGCAGATTAGCTGTGTACATGAGCCCTGGACAAGGAGGCAGGATCCTTGGTCTCTAATTCCCACTCCCCAATACCAGCAGCCACCCAGGAGCGACAGCATGCTCTGCCAGCCCATAGCTGCAGGACCACTGTTGTTGCCTTATGCCTGGCTGGGCCAAGGAATCCCCTTCCGTTTCTGACAACCACATGGCTTCCACTATTGTGTCATACAGGAGCCCTGCCTGTGAATGGCTGTGAGGTGGTGGAATTTCCTCCTAGTGACCACTTGCTCTGGCTCTCCTGAACGGGCGCAGTTTTGAGCTGTGCTGTTTCATAGGGCTGTCTATGTGGTGGTGCTTTGCAAAGCAGCCCTGGTGTGCAGAGATGGCAGGGTGTGCTGGGAAGCCTCTCCGCTGACAGCAAGACCGCAGGCCTTCACCTCAGACAGCCCTGTACACCCACGCTGTTTTCCCAGAATTTGTTTTAGTTGATTGGTAGTCTTTCTTTAATGCATCTTTAATTTTGATAGATTTCACCAGATTGCCCTCTGAAAGGGTTGAACCCTTTTAAATTCTTTTAAAAATTAATTTTTAATTTTCTAAATGATATAGGAATATATCCTTTTTCATTTAAAAATGAAAATAATTAGAGATTATGGCTAAAGTCACTTTTGATCACCACCCCACACCCCTACCATCACCCCTCAGCCCCGGTTCCCACATAGGCCCTCCCCATTCCCCAGGGGTACCTGCTATTATTGGTTTGGTGTATGTCGTGCTAGTTCTTTTTCTGTGCCCTGGTAGATATAAACCAATGGGAGATAGACATCATCTGGTGTGTGTGTGTGTGTGTGTGTGTGTGTGTGTGTAACATATAAGCTATATTGTACCAACCCATCATTCTATAATGATGTGTCTTACACGATGCTAAATCTTGGAGGTCTTTCTGTGATGTAGATCTGTATGTATTACTTGAGTTGTTTCCATAAACTGTTTTTCATCAGTGCCTTTTTGGCATTAGTTTCAGGAAAGAATTTGGGGCTTCATTAAATACTCTGATTCTTTTTTAAAAAATATTATGGCCGGGCGCAGTGGCTCACACCTGTAATCCCAGCACTTTGGGAGGCCAAGGCGGGTGGATCACCTGAGGTCAGGAGTTTGCGACCAGCCTGTCCAACATGGTGAAACCCTGCTCTACTAAACATACAAAAATTAGCCGGGCATGGTAGTGGGCGCCTGTAATCCCAGCTGTTCAGGAGGCTGAGGCAAGAGAATTGCTTGAATCTGGGAGGCGGAGGTTGCAGTGAGCTGAGATCACATCATTAAATTTCAGCCTGGGAGATAAGAGCGAGACTCTGTCTCAAAATTACGCAAAATAATCCGTGTGTGTGCACGCTTTTCTCTCTCTTCAGATCTCAGAAAACGGATCTTCACAATGAAGGCTACATCTTGGAATTAGATTGCTGTTCCTCCTTAGAACACCTGACAGACCAGAAACTCCTCCCAGAGTTCATTAAGAAGGTGAGCACTGCTGTCAGAGTACCATTGAGCAGGTTTGTGAGCATTCACCTGAGTGAACAGGCAGGGAGCTAGCTTAGGGCAGATCAGCCACACTCAAGAGCCCATGCAAGAGCTGTGCCCTAAACCTTTGGCAGCCCCCCAGGGGGCTGGACTGTGGAACTGGTGGCTAGCCCCTCCTCCGCAGGCATGCAGGACCCTGGGTCCTGTCTTTTCAAGCTGGAATGAGGTGAACAGCTGACAGACCTGCAGGCCCATGCCGCAGCTCCTTTCAAACCCTTAAGGTAATGTGACTTCCCAAATCCCCGCTTCCTTTTATCTATGGGTCTTCATTGCTGTGAACCCCCTTCCCTTCCTAGTGTGGGAGCGTGCCAGTCTTGTGGCCACCGGCATGCAATCATACCAGGGAAAACTGCCTAGTTGCAGGGAATTCATATCTGCCCAGAAATGTGTCTGGTTTTGAACCTTTCTTCATGCCATATGAGGTTTGGTGCCTAACTGTAGGGTCTACTTGAGTTTTAATATGACATTTACTGCAGAAAGAAAGTTCTAGGCCCAAACTGGGGCTGAATTCATTTCTTAATGCTTATCTTGTTCTTTCTTACCCAAGTGTTCCCTAGTAACTGACAATTCCCTACCCCATACGGTGATTGTGATTTGAGGTTCAATAGCCAATTAGGGAATTCGTTAATAAATATTGTCAGCTGTCAGCTTTGGGCCAGGACTAGTACTAAGAGCTGGGATACAGAGAACAAAAAAGCCGAACTAGTGAGTGTTACCAGCGGGAAGTGGCCGAGGCTGAGGAGCGAGGGGATCAGGCAGGTACCTGGAGCTGAGGTGGGAAGGATAAAGGGGTATCTTTGGGGATGCAGCTGTGCTTGGGCAGATTGGGAGCCCTCCAAACGGGGAACAGCGGACCTGAGGGCCTGAGGCAGGAGGGAGTGAGGGGAATCAAAAGGACGTCAGAGGAAGAGTGAGGGTCGGGAGAAGGGGCCAGAGACAGCTGGGAATGGGCTGTAAAAGCGGTGGGAAGCCATTGAGCGGAATTCTATAGAACAGTGAAATGATTACGTTGTCTTTAAAGGAGATTTGTTTCCTTCCTGCCACCCTCCCTTCAACATATATTGAGTTTTCAGGCTCCAGGGGCTCTGGGAGTAGCTGCTCCTGTGTGATGGCTCTAAGGCCCATAGACCAGGAGCCAGATGATCTGTGAGGTCAGCATTTCTGGTAATTGTACTAGGATGCGAGAGTCTCTTTCTACTCTGGTAGAATTCAGATTATTATGTAAGAAATGGGGGGAAAGTAGCTCTTCTTTACATATACGTAAGCCTGGGAACACAAGTGTTTTAATAACTCCTGTAACTTTCTATAGAATAGAGCCATCTTTGGATTGCTGCAAATAATCCACTTCTATAGGGACGTCCTAGAGGTGGAATTTATCCTGTGATCTGAATGCCGAGAAAAAAAGAGTCATTTTAGAGATGGTTTTGTAATTAAGACTCAGATGCTCAGAATATTTGAGGGATACGTGGGTAAAAGGAAGGCATGAGGCACCCACTTCATCAAATATGCTCTTTAAAAATGTGTGACTTGAGGCTGGGCATGGTGGCTCAACGTGTAATCCCAACAGTTTGGGAGGCTGAGGCAAGAGGATTGCTTGAGCCCAGGAGTTCAAGATTAGACTGGGCAACATAGCAAGACCCCCGTTTCTGCAAAAAAAAAAAAAAAAAAAAAAAGTCTTTTAAAAAAGCCGAGCATGGTGCTACTTGACTATTGTCCTAGCTCCTCGAGAGGCTGAGGTGGGAGAAGTGCTTGAGCCCAGGAGTTTGAGACTGCAGTGAACTATGATTGCACTCCTGCATTCCAGCCTGGGTGGTAGAGGGAGACCCTGTCTCTTTAAAAAAAAAAAACAGAAAAGAAAACATATGAGTTGATACAAGTTGGTGCCTTTTTTTTTTAACCAAATTAGATCATTTCATGACTGACCAATTGCCCTGGTCCCGTCTCAGTTCTTCAGGAAACAGTTCGATTTGCGGGCTCCTGGGGTGTTGTTTCGGTAGTACCCAAGTGGAGATGTTCATCTGTCCGAAGGAAAGCACCCTCAAAGTTGGGGTTTTTATGTCCCGAAGTTTCTACTTTAACTTCCATACCAGCATTCTTTTTTCCCACTGATTCTATGTGTGTGTCTACACATCAGTATCTAATGAGTCACTAATTTGTTAGGTAAATGACACCTGCTCATTCTATAGTTGCATAATAAGTCCTTACTAAACACTGTCAATAGGTTCTTGGAAACTGACTTTCAGTGAAACAACGTGCAGCAGGTCCTCAATGTCATTCAGTATAGTTTAGTTTTAACCTTGAGAAAAAAATTGGTTTTGTTGTCATTTCACTCAGTCTGTTTCCAGGAACCTATTGACACCATTAAGTGAAGACTTACAGTATGAGAATCCTGTTCCTAACGCTTTAAAGCCCACCATATCCTGCTCCTGTCATGCATGTGGTTTTTAAATAACACAGACTGGACAGCCTGCACACTAGGGCAGCGGTGAGATTTCTGACCTGGAGTGTCTCCAGATGTCTATCCCAGAGTCCCATCTCTGCTCTTCTAAATAGAAATGTGGCTTATACTCATTCCCGCCTTGGAGGAGCCAGGTGTGTTGAGGGTGCCCCACCGTTTGCCCCGCCTTGTCTGTCAGTGAACAGGGCTGCACTTGGAAAGCCCCAGCATTTCTTGCTGTTGTTACCGGCTGTGGCTTTAGTTTCTAGTCCAGTTGCCATGACAACAAGAAGTGGGACAAAATAATGGGTTTGGATCCCCTTCCCCCTGCTCCTCTTCTCTGTTGCTGGTTGATTTCTAGAGAAAATACCACCTGTGTGTGCAAAGAGCAGAGGACAACTCCAGGAACCTCTCCAGGGCCTGTGGCTATTCCAAGTGATGGCTGAATTTTACACGTGTAAATTTTTCTGTCATCACACTAGGTAGAAGACCACAGGTGCTTCCCAGGAAGAAGTATTCTAAAAACTATTTGTGGTTTTTTTGTTCATTGCAAATATTTAATGAGTAGCTTTGGCCCTATTTATATATATGTAGTGGTGACACTTGTTAATTGCCATTCAGTTAGGTCAAGATGAAGCTGTGTCATTGGCTGCCTCCGCTTGCAGTCATTACTTTTTATCTGGGTCATTATTTTGTGTGAAATAATGGCTCCTGTTCCTATGACAAGTAGATTCATCTTAGGATGAGATGGTAATTAACTCATTTTGTCATTGTACCATCATGCAGGACAGGTTCATATTCTTCTCTGCATATTAGAATTAAACTCAAGTGGATTAGATTTTTTTTATAAGAACAATGTCCTAGTATTGTTTTTCCACCAAATGTTTTAAATTAGCAGAACCTTTGGATAGAGGACACGGATAGAAGGAGGGAGAGAAGATTTCATTATTTCCCACAATTAGGAAAAAATAAAGTCATTTGTGTCTGTGTCATGTAAAATCAGCCGAAGACACTGTCATTTACATCCCTTTTCATCATAGCTGGTCAAATGAAATCTACATGACTGCATTGTGTTTTCTCCTGTTGTGTTCTGCTGTGCTCCATCCTACTGGCCATTTATATAAAGTTGTTATTATGGTCCACAGAACACTTAAAATGCAGAGTTATGGGCAGACTTGGAGAGACTTGTTTTCTAAGTCTCAAGGGATGAAGAACTGGGAGGCTGAGAGAGAGTGATGGTGCTGCCAGAATTCCTTTGGGATGAGGGCTCCACCAGCCCATCAGGTACACCTGGAGACTGTGTGACTGGCAGGTCCATGGGGATCTCTGGAATTTCCCACTCTTCAGAGCTCCCAGAGGATTGTAAAGCAGGCAGAGTGACACAGAATGAAAAGCCTACGTGTTTGTCTTCAAATTGCTGTTCATTCATTAGAGATTCTTGGGAAGGGCCTTCAGTGTGGAGAACACTTTGAGGTTTTCAGTCATTGTGTACATTTTCTGGCATGCGCTTCTGATATCTCAAAAGTTCCCTTTGAGAGAGGCTGAGGGCTTTGCCGGGGCTGGAACTGCTAAATGATGGAGCCTAGATTAGACCCTCCATAGGAGGGGCACGAGTGAGCAGCCAAGGGGCTTCCGAGCGGCCAGAAGTTTCTTTGGCTAGGTGGACTGGAGAGAACTTCAGAGAGGTGTGGGATGAGCGCTCTGCAAAGTGAGGGACTGATGCTGGAGGAGGCTGAGAGGAGAGGTGGGCAACTCTGTACCGTTGCTGGCATGGGCAGGAGCATGGGCTGAAGGCACAAGGCTGAGGAAGAGCCAAGTCCTGTTTGGCCTGAGTGTGGGATGGACAAAGAAAGAAGGACGCCTGTTCTGGGTAGGGTTGTTTTGATCACATGGAGCAGAGCCCTAGTCTGGCAAGCTCCAAGTGAGTCAGGCAGGTTTACTATATAGATGTAAGGAATGGCATGGAGCCCCAGGGCAGAAATACAGGAAACCAGGAGGAAAAAAAAAAAAAATATATATATATATATATATGGTTTATTTAAATTTAAGATTTTAATCTGTGGAGGGAATCCTGATGCATCAGGCAGACCTTATTCTAAAGTACTCATGTGTTTATTCCACCCTTAACCCTCATCACACACTTGTGAAGACTTATCCCCATTTGACAGATGAAGAAACTGAGACACAGAGAAGCTATGCAGTTTGCCCAAATTAATAACTGCATATGGCAGGACTGGGATATGAACCCGGCCTGTTGGACCCAGGGACCACGTTCATGAGCACTTAGCCATGCTATCCCTCCTGCATAGCTTGTCCTTTCGTGGACAGAGGCGGAGGCTGTTGGAGCCAGGATGTGAGGTTGAGTATGCGAGGCAGATAGCTGTAGCACATGTAGGGTACACAGGGCCAGATGTTGGAGAGCCACAAAGGCGTCCCCCAGTGAAGGATGGGCTCCAGGCCTTACCGCCCAGGTTCTGCTGATGGCCCAGGTTCTGCTGATCGA